AAATTCTACCACCCCCAAACTTATACAAACATTGCCCTCAATGTGCATATGATAAGATTAGGAACATAAGTTGAAGGACAACGAAGATAACGTAAAAGAAGGGTTGAGGCTACTCCCTGATCAAAAAGGAGGTGGAGGTGGGGATGGAGAACTGGGCCCCACAGTGCTATCATCTGGTGGCGGATCCAGTCGTGCAAGGAGCTGCCGCATCATTCCAGATTGCTCCTGAAGTAACGCGGTCTGCCCCCGAATCAAACCCGAATTCTCCTGAAGGAAATCCGACTGCCTTCTCACTTCAGTCTCAAGTCTGCCCAGGCGATCCCATGTCTCATCTGCTCGAAGCTGTAGACCATCCACCCGTCCTGCATATAAGCTCAAACGCCCATTCATCGTCTCGAAAGCCCGCCTGGAAGCGAGGGACTCTCTATTGGAATCAGAACAAAAAGTACGGGTAGTGTGTATGTCGGTCTGCACTTGCTGCATGCCTGTGCTCAATGCTTCAAATGTTCGCTGCAAGCTCTGAATGTCTCTACTGCAGCCTGTCAGTGTAGCAAACATCTGCCGCAGTATCTGTGTGTCGACCCCAACAGGTGGTGGCGGTGCGTCTGCTGGAGGTATATCCATATCTGCAGCCCCCTCACCCTGCTCAGCTGGATCCGCCAAAATGCATAAATGACCAATGAACATCCCCAAATCGATTTTCAACAATTGATAAACTGCATGAGATCAAATGAGTACTCTGAAGTGCTTCTAGGGTTGATGATTAGCTAAATATGCTCAAAATGGAGGAAAACAAGGAAAAATCCAATGTTTCACCAAAAACCTCTTTTCATCTCACATTGTCAAGATAATATTCCAAAGTGCTTGCTAGACAATGGTAACACATCCAAAACCAAAATCACCCATGAAAACACATGCTGGACTGAAAAACTTAGAAAATGATAATTAAGCCTAGATATGCGTGATTTCTAGTGTCAGCACCCAAAAAAATGATTCCATCACCACGAAAAGACATGTACACCACAATTAGAACTAAGAGGAATTACTCATGAGTGCTATGTGAACGGCTAAGATAATGATGACCTAGAACGACGTGAGCAAAGCAAAGAAAATGAAAACTATCACAATAAAAACAAAAAAAAACATAATAAATAAAAGGGGAGAAACGAT